GCCACCTCCGCTCCCGTTCGAGGTGAGCTGGACAGACGAAAGCCGGCCAAACCTCGACCACGAAGGCGCCCGCTGAAGATCCGCCCGGGAGGTTCCGGAAAGGGAGCAGGCGCTACTCGCGCCTCGTCGGCGGGGACGGAGAGAGGCCGGCGGAGGGAAATCGACCGGGCTTGCGACACACCGCGAAACCCGGTCCGCCAACCCAGCCACGCCACCTTCTCTCGCCTCCCCCGAGCAGGACTGGCGGCAAGAAGCAAGCAACGGCTCCACAAACCCACAAGGCGGCGCGAAGAAGGAAGCGGGGAGGAGCCTAGTCCCGCCTGCCTGCCCGCCCGCCCTCCCTCCTGTCGCGCAGCAACGGCAACCGCGGCTGTAACTGCAGCCTGAGAGCAGCCCGCCCCGCCTCCCGCGCGCCCCGGCCGACCAGCCGTAGAGCGCCACCGCACGACTCGGCAGCGAGGCGGTCTAGGGCGGGAGCCGGGGAGCGGCGGGATTACGTCGAGTGGCGAGTCCAGGCTCTACCCTTAATCCCCGCACGCTGTGTGGGTAGTGCGCAGGGAGCTATAGTCTCTTCGCTTCCGATATGGGCGCCGCTGCTTCGCTTCGGTTCCTTTTTAGTGTTTGGACTAGAATACGTGCCTTCCGAGCTCAGGAGACGTTCATGAGGAAGCAGGTCCCGCAGCACTCGGGAGGGCTGACATAGCGATACTTGTGTATTTGCGCGCAAAATCGTCTTCCTCAATAAATGAAAGGAAGGAAGGAGTTTGACAAGCATGTCGGGCGAGAGAAAGCCCCTTTTGTATACTGGAAAAGCTGGGAAGGGAGCAGCTGCTGCGGCTGCAATTTCTATGGAGCCTTCCAGCTGTTACTACTTTCGAGTTTGCATGGCATATGTGGGCGGCGCAGAGGCCCGGCATTCCTTGTCTATTTTCAGGGTAGAGCAAGGTGTTCCTCACGCCTGATGCTTCTACCTGCTCTCCCTTTATAAAGCAGTGGACACAAATTGGGGCGTTTTCTTTCTCTTTTTTGCAGGCCAATGAAATATGTTTGGCATGCTGACATATTCAGCATCGACTGCTTACTTACAGTGTAGCTAGAAGAAAAGGCCTTGTTCGTTCACTCTAGCCCCCCTCTCTAGATTGTCTTAAGAAGGTAAGGATAGGCCCACTGGATCAGGCCAAAGCCCATCTTGGTCTGTCATTTTGTTTCTCATGGTGGCTAGCTTGTTGCCTCTGGGGTGCCTGCAGGCACCCTCTCCTGCCATTGCTCCTCTGCCCCTAGTATTTGGAAGCACTGAATTTTCAAAAGTAATAGCTTTGGTAGACTCCTCTCCCATGAATGTATCCAATCCTCACTTAAAGTTATTGGTCATCATCACATTTTATGGTAATGAGTTCTTCTGGTTAATTATACTATGCAAAACAATTCTTTCTTTTGTGGTAAGGGTGATATTCCAGCTAGTGTCCCTGGAGGACTCCTGCCTTAATGCTTTGAGAGGAGTAAAAACCCTCCCTGTCCATTTTGTGCGATTAATGATTTATACAGCATGATCATGCCTCCCTCAGTTATATTTTTTTCTAACCCAAAGTCCATAACTTGTGGTAGGGTTCCCTGGGCTTTGGGAGATCAATATCAAGGTATTGTTCAGACTTTCTGCAGATGTTTAACCCCACAAGGCTTCCTCAGTACAACCATTCAGAAGAGGGATTTCCCTTGCAGTATTTGTAGTCTGGATAAGATTTGAAGTTTTGTGGGGGGGGGGAGGAGGAGTTGATTGGTGATTGGAAGTTTCCTAAGAAGTGATTATAATTTGGTTGTTTAGAAATGTCTGCAAGAAGCCTATTAATATCCTGGTATTGATCTTCCAAGGCTGAGCCACAAGGTATGTACAGGGCACCTGTGCTACCACTGTTCCAAGAAACCTGTAAGCCAGAGTCCTAAATGTTCTAGCCTTTTCTTGTAAGGCAGCATGTTCAGAATCCCTGTTCCTTTGGCTTGTCCTCTTACTGATTTCTTAGAAGACTCCCTACCATCAATAAGACTCATAAGTAAGGGTGAGAGGATTTTAGTATAGGTAAATTTAATCAGAAATAAATTCCATGGGTGACTTAAATGGATGCAGGAATTATTTCAAGAGGTAAGAGTTGTCTCCAAAATATTCCGATGACAAAGCATTTGTACTCAATGTTTGCTACTGTAAACATAATTTTGCCCCTCATCCCACCTTTTCTGTAGTTATACCTGAATTTTGCCTAATTTATCTACTTGCAGTTAATGTACAGGTAGTCCTCAGGTTATGATGACAGTTGGGACCGGGATTGCTGTTGCTAAGTGATGCAGTTGTAAAATACGACCTCATATGACTGCATCGCTTAGCAACGACAATCCTGGCAGTCCTGGTTGCTGTCATAACCCCAAGATATGCAGGTCATTAAGTGGGAAGCAGTGGGAGTCCCAGGTAAGGCGCATGGGATGCTGTGGGGGGGAGCCCTGGGAGGTCAAACACAGACCGTTGACGAGTGCAGGGAAGCCGGAGGAAGCAGAGCATGGCACGAGCACAGGGAGGCTGGAGGAAGCAATATGTGGCTCCATGCAAGTGCAGGGAAGCTGGGGAAAGAAGGTCACGGTGCCACACAAGTGCAAGGGGGACCAGGGAAAGGAGACTGCGGGTTGGCTTGAGCACAGGGAGGCCGGGGTGACTTACCAGAATGACTTGCAGCCTTCACTGCTAGCTTCCCCATTGACTTTGCTTGTGGGAAGCCAGCAAGGAAGGTTGTGAATGGTGAACATGTGACCGCAGGGTGCTGCAACCATTGTAAGTGTAAGCCGGTGGTCAGGTGCCTGAATCATGATCGCGTGACTGTGGTGGTGTGACAGCCAGAACTTTAAGGACCAGTCGTAAGTATCACTCATTCAGCACTGTCGCAACTTCAAACAGTTGCTGAATGAGTGGTCGATAAGCAAGGACTACCTGTATTGACATTTTCTAGTACTCTGCTGAAACTCTTATGGTAAAGTGTGATACATATTCTAACTTGTAATGTTTGGCAGTAAATTTAACTTCCTTGTAAGTATACTGAAGCCTTTTCATAGGTACAGGTTCCACTGAACTCCAGTGGGCCTTCTGCAAAGGCATGTGTAGGATTGCTGCATCTACAATCTAAACTTAGACTCAGTGTTTTATCCAGTAGTTGCACAACCCCTTGCTTTCATTAAAAGCAGTCCTGTCTTGAACTTCCCAATCACCCTGGTTACCACTCTATCATTGGTAGAAGCCTTCCCCTCTGCTTTCTTCTTATAGACAGAGGCAGCCACTGGTATGTATTTCTTGGAACTGCAAAATTTCGAGGCCTCTGTTATGCAAAGATGCTGTAAATTGGCATTTTATATATTTTAAAATGTATGGCACCTTTTATTTCCCAAGTTTCAGTAAAGCCAAATAAGAAGACTTGAGATGAGGCTTTTAACAGAGGTTTTATTGGCCAAGGAAACCTTCTGGATGGCTCAAGGAGTGTTGCCCAGAACCACACCTTGCAAAGCAAGTAACAAAGATTTTATAGGCATATTCAGATATTTCAGATAGTACATCCCCTCATATCCATGCAAGGGAATTTTGGGATGACCCAGGGAAAAGTAAAGGTGGGCCTAAAGAGGTGAATCTAAGTTTAACTTTTTTCTTCCGGTTATCAAGGAAATACCTAACTTCTTTGGAATTTCAAACTTCTTT